AAATATTTCTTCGACGAAAAAAGAAATAAACAAGGTATTATACATAAACAGTGTACCAAATATGTTATGTTTTAAAAAAAAAATACAGGTAAATCTTAGGTGACATTCTAATTAACCTTGATTGTTATAAAAACAAACTATTTATCAAAACATCTATTGTTATTTGCATGTGGGAATAGAAGGAATAGTATTTTTAAAAAGTGGGAATAGGAGGAAGACACCCCTTTGTTTACATGCAAAACAAGGGGATTAAATAGTTTTGAAAGGGTTGGAGAGAGACCATTGTTGACATTGGCATATATTCTGGGGAATGTCATACAGGCTCCTTGGAGCCTCTAGTTATGTATTTGACTGTTCTTTTCATGCATTGGTAGTTGCAGATGGATATATGTTTTGCCTGATCTCATTTTTAATATTCTACAAATGATGAATGAAAACAGATCTGACATCAAGTGAGGAGTAAATAATCTAATAATATATCCTATGTGATAACTGTTTAATGTCTGAATAGATTGGATATGATTGGTTTATTGGTCATAGGGGTGACAATAACTAATAAAAGATGACATAATTTACATTTCAAACATCATCCAGATATAGTGCTTTCAACACATTAATTCATCTTCACAAGTTTTGATAGATTTATTATTGCCTTTTCTGTAGGAGAAAAATGACTTAAATATACCATGGGATATAGTTATTGATGAACCTGCAAAAATTCATTAGTAAATTTGTTGCTATAAATAGGCTTTATGAGATTTGCTTTTGTGTAGGTTTCCTTAAAAAGTGTAAGCTTTTGAAATTCGCTGCATTTGGAATGATGAATTATTATTGTGGGATAATTGCATATTGCATTATCAAGAATAACGCACATTATATGCACTTAGTTACAAAAATCAACAGACAATGTAGGTGTTTCAATGCTGAAAAAGAAAGACTGCTGGTCATTGATAATTCTTGTCATACACTAGTTTATTTCACTGAATGTATGAACGGCTTGGTTGATATAAAAGATGACATTGACAAGTATAAATGCTTCAAAAGTCCTCAGACTTTTTATTAGAAAGTTTTATCATATATCCTCTTGCACAACATGATAGAATATGAAAAGAACTCTGTCTGTCTTTACATCACACATTTTGTTCATACAGTATCTCCAGTAATAGGATGTCTGATTGTTTTTTGGCAGGTATATAGATTTTTGTTGAATTCAAAGAAAAAGGATTTGGCGCAATTGACTTTGGGGGGATATCTAACTTATTATAATTTTCATGCCCCCGCCGTCACAAGAGGGGGCATTAAGTGTTACCCTTGTCCGTCCGTACGTCCCAAAATTGGTTTCCGTTCTCTAACTTTAGTTTGCCTCAACCAAATGTTATGAAACTTACACACAATGCTTATTACCACAAAACACACATCAACATTAAATTTGGGTGGCGTCACTTTTACTATTCTTGAGTTATGCCCCTTTATAATGTTATATAAAAGGGGGGCATTCTCTATTTATTTTCAATTAGGACTTTTTCAAAAATTACAAGTGTTTGATTAAATTACCACGAATAAAAAGAAGATTTGGGGTATACATCAATGAGGTGGCAACCCAAAGACACTAAAAAATTAAAAGACATCTATAGAATAACATATTGTCTTCAAAAATATATCCAGCTCTAAAATGATCCAAGCCTAAAGAAAAGTTGTGATCAATTCAAAAGAGACTTCTCTTTAGGCCACACCAATTTGATTAATAGTTCTTGGACAAAAGCTCCAAAAAATATAGGGTGAGCGAGCAAAATTTGTTTGTTTTTATATGTTTCTTGAAAATGAGTTTTTTGAGGCGAGAGCTCTACAAGTGAAGCAAGCGGTATAATTTTTTTTTTAAATTGTGTGATTTAGAAGTTGTACATGTTGTAACAACTGGGTTATTTCATAGAAAAACGAAGAGTAACAGATGCTCTAATGCATATAATTTGATTTATTGGTGCCTGTACCATATCAGACTTTCTTGTCTCACTGTGGTTTAGTTAATTTTGGTTATTTACTTAAAGTAAGCTTTGTCTATGTAAATTTTCATTCAAATCCATGTATATATTTAGGAAGCATAGCAGAAGCAGTTTTACAAGAGGAAGTATGTTAGCTAGGTAAATGACACATGTTGGATAAAATTAAAATATGTGTATGTATCCAAAAAAATGCCCCTGAAAGATATTTGATAGTTTTCATCATATCTGGTAATGATTGTTTATAGTTGTAGTTCAGAGTTTCTGTTGTTCCGTTATTTTCCTCTTATAGTTGATGTGTTTCCTTCGGTTTTAGTTTGATACCCGGATTTGATTTTGCTTAATCAAATTATGACTATTGAACAGCGGTATACTACAGTTGCCTTTATTTATTGGCTGCTTGACATCAAGTAGGAACTATTTATGCATATTTAGGATCAAAAGAATGAGTGAGGTGAATATTTCTTGCTTTGTACTAAAACAACATCCTGAGTAAGATAGCTATATTGCTATACATGTAGATCCAAATGTATTAAAATATTCCCTTAAAATACCTGTCAACCTTTCAAAAGCATTTTTCTTACTAAGCAAAATACTCTTTCATTTTGCTCCTAAAAGCTGTAATGCATTTAAAACTCTCTAGCTTGACTATAAATGGTTGAACCAATTACACACCCCTAATTATTATGAGCATGCCAATCACAATACTGCATCACCTATGTCTCGTTGGAACTCTTTAAATTCCCCCAACAAAAGAAGAGTTCTGCTTGCATGCCAAAAGACTAACAAGGGAATATGGGGTTTCATCAACTTCAAATGCTTTTGGGATTTTTTAAAAAGTTCATGGGAATTTACAATTCATTTCATCCAAAAGATAGATAGGTCTATGCCTGTTGAAACAAGGATGGGGTAACAATGGTTCTAACAAATATTGATGTGTCTGTGGTCATCAAATGAAATGTTTTTAATTTTTGCATCCTAGAACAGTTCTTTAAAGGTAAAACGAGAAGCATTTCGAATAACAGTGTGTTCAATAACTACTTGTCCATGGCAATGAGGTGACACAACTGCAGCCTGATTTTGGACCTTTTATTTACAAATCGATTTATTACAAGTGCGTTTAAAAGGATAATAGCAACAGAAAAGCGACTATGTGAAAAAAAAATTCAAGGAGAAACTAATTTTGGAGCGTCATGCATACCAAAATTTTGAGGAAGCAGTAATTTATTTTTTTTTATTGAAAAGTCAATTTCTCCAAAACAGGAGCGGGAAAATCCAAAGAACTATTAATTAAATTGGTGTGGCCTTATTTAGAAATTTATGTAATGTTTTTATTATTACTAGAATTGGGACGGGATAGGTTTTGGAAAAATAAAAACTCGCATTTGATATTTTTATAACACTATACTTTGCAACAATTTCTGAAATCACAATAATTTATCTCAAATTTCATTTTTCAAAGATCGCAATAATATTGCATGCAAAAATTTATGAATATTATACAATTACTGTCTTTTGATGTAGTAAATATGTGGTTTTATTGACTTTTGAAAAACTGATATTCACTGAGGCCAACAAAAGACAGTAATTGTTTTATTTTGTATTCTGAGAGAGAAAATGTATGTAATGACAATTATTTACGAAAACCAATTGTTAATCTAATGAGTTTACCATAATTATACACTTAAAAGCCAGCAATGTTTTGCACGGTGAATATACTTTTTTCCTCAGGTGAATATGCTGTTTATTCAAATCCAATCCATATAGAAAAACCTACTAAAGTTATATCAAAATGGAATAAACAGTATTATTGATCTGCCATCAAAACTTCAATTCCAAAAAATTAGAAAAACTTGGAGAGATAACAGAATACAACCAATGTTGTAGTTGTTTACTTAGGAGACACACATGAACATGTTGTCAGGGTAAACAAGTTTTTGATGCCTTTCCTTCAAAGAAGGGGGCATTATGTTATCTGGTCTGTACATTACATCTGTCTGTCCTGTTTCAGGTTAAATTATGGTTTTTGGTAGTTAACCATGAAGTTGTGGTCATATCAACTTGAAACTTACTACACATGATCTTTTTATAAAAATTACACTTAATAACTTTCAAGTGCTTTTCTGGATTTATGATCTGAACTTTTTAGAATATATCCAAAATTATATAGGGCTGTGATCCAGAATTCATTGTTCACTGCAAATGGAAATGGGATAGTGTGAGCAATGCATAGGGTTCTGTTGGTACATATTCTTGTTTGAGATCTCAATCCTCCCCCTTTTTAATCTTGAACAGTCGAATTACAAAAGTACATTGGATTAGGATGATTAGATAATAATAATTTTGGTGCATAGCCGCTATGTTATTGGTAAATTTCCTTCTTTAGTTTTAAAGTACCGAGAAACCATATATATTTTAAGAATGATGAAAAGCTACCATTCACAGAATAATTTCTTTTTAACAAAAATAATATTAGCAGTTTCCTTTCTTGACATCAATGGCTATTTTTTTGGGAAAAGGGAAGTTGTTTGTACAGCAAAATATATACATTCTGTGCCATGTGTTTTCTTAAATATAACAAATACTAGTTAATAAGAATGGTTGGTTGGTGTGTATTAGTTTTATGTCAGTTTATAGAATCCTAATTTAATCCTTCTGTTTTGCACATTACATTTTCCTTCAGTTATCAATCCCTTTATTAACTGATTTTGTAGTAAATCAAGTTTGATAAGCAACACCTTATACTTAGGTTTTTGGTGAGGTTCGTGTTGCTCATACTTTTAGTTTTTTATGCTGTGTTTTGTCAATGTTTTGGTTTTTTGCCTTGTCATTGCCAGTTTGTTTTCCATTTATGAGTTTGAATAACCTTTTGGTATCTTCCACCTCTCTTTTACCCTAGCCTCTCAACTGAGGTAAGGTAAGAGTGGTATGACCATTCTATTATATAGGTTTCCATTCCATTTGAAGTTTCAGAAATACTAATTTTTTGCTTTATATTTTCAGGCTCACAAGATGCTGATGTTTTTCTTTGACAAGTTGATCCCTGGAGGACAGTGTGAAATATTATCAAAACGTCCTACAGAATAAGCAGTGTTTGTTTTATAGTGAACCACAAAAACTATTTGTCATATGCTTAAAAAGAGGAATTACACATGTTATTTTGTTGTTATAACATATTTTTTTGGGGGGCTTGCATTTTCATTTTTTTAAAGAAGTGAATTTTTAAACACAGATTGCACAGTTGAATCCACTTAACTTAAATATAAAAACTCGTTCCACTAGACTCCATTCATTTTATATATAATTATTTTTCTGTGTATATATAAATTAGGAATTTTTGGTCCTCAATGCTCTTTAACTTCGTACTTTATTTGGCCTTTTTAACTTTTTATGATTCGAGCGTCACTGATGAGTCTTTTGTAGCCGAAACGTGTGTCTTGCGCAAATACAAAATTTTAATCCTAGTATCTATGATGAGTTTATTTTCAGCAGATTCTGACTTAGATTTGAATTTTATAACATTAAAGATAATGATTTCAATAGTTTGTTGTACATGGGTAAATGTCCTGGTTGAGTTTAATCTTATTTCCTTCACTGTATAAGGTTATTTTATACACGTCCAAACTACTAGAAAACATCCATATTTGTTTTTTGTTTATTGTTTTAGGCTGTTGTTTTTCTAGTTTGAATTGTTTCACATTTTGTCATTCCTAGGTCTTTTATAGCTTACTATACAGTATGAGATTTGGTCATTGTTGAAGTCTGTACGATAACCTATAGTTTCTAACATCCGGGTCCTTTGGTGTCTGGTTAAATAAATGCTTCACTGTATCATTACTTTTTTGTAATACATAAATAAAGGAACTACAAGTATTGTGTTATCTAGGAGATTGGAATTAAGTTTAGAGCTAAGGGAAAATAATGATATATGCATAATGTTCAATGTTATATACTATTTACGATAACAATTTAACTGCACTAGATGTAGATTTCGACATTTAATCTCTTTAGTGATGCTGGAGGGCCTAAATATGTGAAAATCCAAAACCTGATACAAATTTTGAAGAACTGATATAGCCCAAAGGGATAAATAAAAAAGCATCATTATGAAATCGTGATATACCATCATTTTCATACAGTTGTAAAGTCTGATGGAATTTTTTTAATTTTTTTATTTGATGATATGATTTCCCTTTGAAAATATTACATAATTGAAGCTTTTTTTATTTTTACTTTTGCTAGTTTTTGTCAGATCGGGCATTTTTTCAAGCATTCCTCATTAAATGTTCACATGTTATGTAATTTATTGAATTCATGTCATAAGCCTTATATTTTTATGTACAATTATAATATTGATTACCCAACAGCAGTGATAAATCACAATTCTGTTAATGAAAATGCTACAGTATTAGAGGCATTTTGAATTGTATTCAAGTTCAACCAATTATTCTTGTGGTATTGCTAGAAAGGGGTGTCTAATTTTCACTAAGACTAAAGCACCTTATTTTAACAAAAATTCCTGAATTTATAGAAGCAAACCGAAAAACAGGAGTCTATATACATGATATAGATTTATACTGAACTCGTGCTTTGCTTTAAGTTTCTGTGACCAATTTTTGAGAAATGCATAATTCTGTTTATGTGCTAAGGAACAATGATATACTCTATCAGCTTATATAAAACTCTGATAGTAACTTCACATAAAATACCACCTCCGAATTCTATTTGATCTTGACTGACTGCATTGTATTACTTTAATTTTATACCATGTTATTCACAATTTGCACATAATGTAAATTCAGAAATTATTGCGAGCATTTTTTATTGCCATTTTTGAAGAATGAACAAAAGTGCGAGATTAATTATTGCGATTTCAGGAAAATCTGCATATAGATATATATATCCTTACCTTAACCTTAATTCTCTTCACGCCAGAAGTCGCATAAGGCCTCTCAGATAAGGTATCAGATATCAAAAATATTGCGATACTCAACCAGTCACATTATTAGCAATAATAAAAATCATGCAATAATTCTGAATTTACAGTATTTCAGTATGCTTTAAGTATTAAATACCATGATCATCTCAAGGAAACCTGTTGCTTATTCTGTGATATGTATAAATAATTTTTATTTATTTATTTATTTGTTATTTCTGAAATAAAATATTATTTTTATACAAATTTAATATCTATATTTTTTATGTATTATCTTGGATTATTAAATGAAGAAAAGATATTAGCTATATGTATGTATTATTATGGGAACTTCTTATTAAGAGATTGATGAGACAATTTAATCAATTTGAAGTTATCTTAAAATTTGAGCTCTTAAAATTTTAGTAGATAATGCTGTAATCATTAAAAATAAACTACATCTTGACTTTTGTTTTATTATGTCCCACCTAAGATAGTTGGGGTAGGGTCTGAGTTTTCTGGTCTATGCATCTGTTTGTTGGTTCATCCTTATCAGGTTAAAGTTTTTTGTAAGGGAGGTTTACAATAAAGTAGTGACATCTTCTTGAAACTTTGCTAATTATAAAAAATGTATAGTAAAAAAAATGCTAGGAAAGATTGTCACATAAAATCTTTATAGAAAACCCTCAAAGGAAAACTATTAATGATAGAGGGTAGATTTTCAAATAAATGTCGAAAGAGGTTAACAGATATATTGGACATGTGCACAAATGAGTAAAATGTGTAGGAGCCAGTGGCAAGAAAAGGGAAAAGGGGGGGGGATGCAACATCCGTTAAAAAATTTTTTTTTCAAATAGGCTGGTTGAAAAAAGCTAAAAAAAAAAAAGAAAAAAAGGCATATAATATGTTGGACATCTGTTTAGTTTTACAGTTAATTTTAACTGCTGAATGACTTATCTCCACTTTATTTTGTGCTTGTTGATTACTTCTGAATGAATACCTTACTAAGTTAGTTTATTGAAAATCTGATACTAATATAAGAAAAAGAAAACAATAATTAAATAGATGCCCAGAGAAAATCCACAACAACATCAGAAAATATTAATGGATGCTCAGAATAGATTCTTAATTTCTTTTTCTGCTACATATGATATATTGCATTTTCAATCCTTAAAAACTATATCATTTAATTGTATTCCAATCCATCCTTTGAGTACACAGACTCATCATTAGACAATCTGCTGAGTGGTATTGTATTTTTCATTTAAATTATATTTCGTAATAATACTATGGTGTTAGCAGAAATCTCAGGGTGCGACAACCTAAAGTGCATGAAATTGATTCCAAATGATGGTAGGTTGACACGATGTTCTATGCTGGTAGAAAGCTTTCATAAGCTGATAACAATGTGTACTGTTATAGAAAGGATTGTGTTTCATTTAAATGTTTCTCATGATTTAACTTACTTTCATAGCAACATGTGTTCTGGATAATCATTATTCAAGTATTGTATGTTGAATAACAATAAAACCCAAGTTTCCTTATTGAAACCTTGCTGAAAGAATAGCCCAATTAAAAGATACTGTAAACTGCATAAAATGATATTGAACATTTTATTGACTAAATTTAGAAAATAATGTATGCTGTCAAAAGTTAACTCAATATCTGACATATTTTAGACTATGTATCTTTTATTGAAATATTCTTAATTCAACTAAAATATTGATATCTGAATTTTTTTTTTCATTAAACATTGCATGGATTTTTAATTTACAGTTGGTCAGTACTACAAATTAAAAATGTAAAATCACTGAAATTGTAATACCGGTATGGTGATTGTTAAATTTTGTCATGTTGACAAGAAACTCAATATATATTAATAATTGTTATTCGTATGCTTCTGTTTTTTTTTCTATGCTAATTTTGTATTTATGATTTGCACTGTATGGTAAATAATTAATTGTTTTATAAAAGATTTCATGTAGACTTAACTGAATGCAAACTTTTTTTTATCATTTTTAATTGTGTTTTTTTTTTCTTCTCTTGATTTCCATCAATTATTATCACTTGCACAAGAATATTATTATTTGTTGACTAGAATTATGACTGGTTCAGACCAGTGTTTTGGGCATGAACTGGGTGTAGTATTAATATCAAGTGGAAATATGGCAGGAATTGATATGTAAGATGTATTAGAATTCCGTAGGACAAAGCAAAACCCAGACACCTGTTGAGTTACAGGTATGGCTGCTCAATATTAAGGCATTCATATGATTGATCACAAACTGTACCCTCATTATTGTTCATGTGGTATTAATTTTCATGGATTTCTCTTCGATACAGATGAACCACAAATTAAGGTGTTCAACAAAATACAAATTTTCTACATGGGCAAAATGCAGAATTTGTAAAACCATGAAATCAAGTATCCACATTTTTTTTTCTTTAATCCATGAATATTGGTAAATATAAATAAATGAATCCACAGTAACTGCACCAGCATCCAAATGCAAAGGTATTGCCACAACTTTGGTGATCCTTGTTTCAGTTCTGAAAACTTCCAACAAAGTTATTGTACAAGTAGGATTCAGTACATGGGCAACCTTTTTTTTTAATATCAAATAAGTGGGATTCAAGATCATCCAAAAAAAAAATAGGATTAAGTATATTGATTAAGGGGATAAGATCCACCACCTAATTTAAATCATTCCTCAAGTTTCTTTGTATCAATCCACTTTATCAATGATCTCTGTTTGAACAATTCCATCCACTTTATCAATGATCTCTGTTTGAACAATTCCATCCATTATTATATCTTATTGTTTACATTTTATATATTGAGTTGTGTGATAAAAGTTACATATATTTATTGATAATAAACACTTCTTGAAGAATTTTCTTTATTACTACATGTATTACTAAATCCAGAAATAATTATTACGTAAGTAAGTTCTAATGTCTATAATGATACTAGTTGAATTGACATGCAACCTATGTCTGGAATACACTTCATCTGGAAAGACAGTATATTCTTAACTACATTTACACCTAGGCTCACTTTGCTTTGTGAAGGATGAACTATGAATAGAAAGAGATATGGGATATGTCTTAACAAAATGAGGCTACCTTTAACATAGATTAACAATTATCAACACATTTGCTTACAAATAAAAAAACATAAAAACATTCTTCATGGAGATTTTCGTTTTTAGCATTGATCAATCATATGCATTATAGCTATAAATTTGTGAAACACCAGCAAAAAATCCCCGAGTTCAGTTTTATTCATTGAGTGGACTGGCAAATGATATAAGAAAAAGAGGAAAATGAAAATAAAACTTTGCAAAGAAATCTCAAGCAAAAAGAATTCAAACAAAATATGGAAATTAATGTATGTTTATATCTGTAAACTTGTACGTTGTAGTAATCAATACTGGCTTTAATACAACGGGATGAACGCTCTGTTGATTAATTGACGGTTTGCCACAGCAGATTTAAAGCTCTTCGCTTGATGTACACACAATTATGTCTTATAGATGGTTCCAGACAATTATTGTGGATACAAATAATGAGTTTGAATGTTGTGTTATACTGATGGGAATATCAAAACACATACTTTTGTTCTGTTCCTCAGTTGTTTTTCAGCTGTTTGCTGATTGAAAGTAGTGAAATGTATGCAGTGTACTTACATTTATGTGGGTAGTACCTTAGATTCCTGCTGAGAAAACCTAGGGTTGAATTTGCCCTTTTTGCTACACTTTTTATGTGTGTGGTTCACTTCACATCATCTGATATTTGCACTCCCAGGTATGGGTTGTTCTGAACTTGTTGGAGTATGTATCCATTAAGCGCATAACATCTCTGGCTTTTGTTTTTGATGCTCAGGATGTAGCATTTTTTTTGGCAAACAATTGCATGCCTGTTTCTGTGAAGAAAGTTATATGACATATGGAGAGTCAGGTCCAAGTACTGTCCCTTGCCGGACTCCTGAGTCCACTTTTAACTCTTCAGAGTGTTCTCTTGCTACTAGAACCTTCATCTTCCTCTGTGTCAGGAACTAATTTAGCCAGTTGTTTATTTGTCCTCGAATTCCGTATTCCCCCATTTTCGGTACTAGTTTATTATGCGGGATAGTGTCAAAAGCTTTTGAAATAATCAAGGATTACGATGTCAGTTAGTAGACCGGCGTCGAATGTATTCATAGAGTCATGTAATGTGATAAGCAATTATGTTTCGTAAGATTGGCCAGATCTGAATCCATGTTTGAGGGATGTGAATATTCCATGCTTTTCAAGATGTTTCGAGATGTGCTTGCATATAATGTGTTCTAGAAGTTTGAAAGGTACAGACGCTAATGAAATTGGTCTGTAATTGTCAGCAGCGTGTTTGTCTCCCTTTTTGAATACTAGTACACAGAAGATTTTTGCATTGAGCCAATTTTCAGGCAGTATTCAAGTATCTATTGACATTTTAAAGATATCAAATAGTCTTGGGCTATTTCTGTTGCACATTCTGGTTCAGATGCTTTTAATGGATTTACATTTTATAAGTAGTTTTTCAAGTCCTTTTGCTGTTATTCTTAGTTTATGTATTGAATCTTTGATGCATTTTTTTGTTGGCCAATTGTAAATACGGATTTTAATGATTTAATTAATATTTCAGCCTTCCCTCTGCCGTCGGTTCAGCTTCCCTTTGTCTGTTAAAGGTGATACTCCAATATTATCTTTTTTCCTGGATTTGATATACTTTCAGAAAGGATTGCTGTTGTTTGTTTCGAAGCCTTTAATAGTAGTACCATTGATGTGATTTTATGTGTATTCTGCTGTCCTGCCTTGCCATTTTACTTTTTGGAACTGTCTATATATTTGTCCACTTTTTACTTCGTTTAGGGCTTGTTAGTACATGGCCTTTGTTTCTTTTTGAACAACTTCCTTATTTTGTGGCTTATACAGGTTGCGTTATTTTGGAGCGGATTTCTTTAGATGGTATGTGTTTGTTCATGCTATGCACAAGTTGTTTCTTGAAGGTGTCACTCATTTCTTGTACATTTATTCTTTTATACTGTATTTGATTGATTTTTGTTGGTGTTATTGTAATCTCTTCTACTGTGTTGTTCCAGTTTACCTCTGAGTAAATATAACATCTCCTAGGTTTGCTACGTTGGGAATATGGTTTGGTGTCGCAGTCGGTAACTATCATTTCTTGGTCTGATATTCCACGTGTGTTTTTGGATGTTTCGACCAGTGGTGGGTTTGTGGTTAACGATATAACAAGGTGTGTGGAAAGAATGCATTCTATGGTTTTAGTTTGGATGCCTTGTCAATTGAATTGTTTGGTACTGACATTGATTCAGAGTGTATATCAGGACAGTTAAAGGTGTCAGACCACAAATTCACCCACTCCAATTTAGAACATATGTTAAAGTATCCCCTCCACTGACAACAAATAGTGCTTTTGATGTCATTGTTTACTTGAACTAACCAACAAATTTGCAGAAATGAAACTCTTGGTGAAAAAGAAATATATTTAGACCATTTTGAGCTATAATTTACTTGTCCGTGAGTTTGCATGAAAAATTGATAGTGTATTTATTTAAGATTTCCAGAAAACAAGGGTTATTTTTAGTAGTAGTTGCCTTCCGAACAGTCATTTTTCGCTACAAGACTTTAAACATTGGTTGAAAATTGGCATGTAGAAAGGTGATACATGTACAATGCAGGATAAACCTGGTTTCTATGAAGTTAAAACTTAAAGTAAAATATTTAGAAAGCTGTGGAAATTGAAAAAAAACCTGGTTGAATAGATACGGATTAGATACGGATTTTGAAAAGGTGGTGCGACACATTAAAATCTGCAGTTAGCATGATATTGGTGTGTTTACTTGCTGTCATTCGTAAAGATTTTTCTATTTCCCCTAGGAATTTCATGTTTCTATGTGGCATGTAGAATGAGTCAGTAAGTAAGGTTGTTTTGCCTTTAATATGTATTTTTACCCATTATATCTCACAATTTGTGACAAGGCTTGAGTGTTATACTGATATGGTGTCTTTGAGTACTAGGATAAAGACTCCTTCACCAAGTGTTCCCCTGTCGTTCCTGTAATCATCTGAGACTTCGATAGATTTAGTCGAGTCTTTAGTGCAGATTTTATCTGATTTTTCTCCTTTGAACCAGCATTCTTTTCCACAGAAGATTTCAGGTTTGATGTAGTTTATTGCTTTTTAAATTCTATTGTCTTGTCTTTTATGCGTCTGCAATTGACTGTTAGAAGCTGAGGCCCCTTGTTTCATTAAAATTAAATACTTGTATGTTGTTACTATGTGTTTCTTCTGTGATTTTTCGGATTTTTTGTAGTTGAGGATTTGGTTTTGAGTTCTTACACTGCTGGTCTTTGATGTGCTTAATATGCTTAATGACACAGATTCGAATGAAATTTCATGTGTTAGCGATTTGTATTAATTTGGTGTGTTCAGTTTATACATGTAGCTGTGAAATGTAAACGATGACATTATGCATTCATACTCTCGTATTTACAGCAGAGCGTATGTTTGATCTTTGAAGGAGTTCGTAATCAATTGTACATAGTTCAATACATGACCTATGGTGCCATATAACACATACATCACAACAAACACCATCGCATTTCCATGTTACATGGTGGTCACATAACTTGCATGGTATACACTTTGTTGTTACCCTCTATATCCAGGGTTAAGTTCAATATTGCCTCCTAGTATAATTAATAGTATTGTGAGGTGTTGGTTCCCTCTATGTCCAGGGTTAAGTTCAATATTGCCTCCTAGTATAAATAATAGCATTGTGAGGTGTTGTTTCCCTCTATGTCCAGGGTTAAGTTCAATACTGCCTCCTGGTATAAGTAATAGCATTGTGAGGTGTTGTTTCCCGCTATGTCCAGGGTTTTAAGTTCATTATTGCCTCCTAGTATAAGTAATAGTATTGTAAGGTGTTGTTTCCCTCTATGTCCAGGGTTAAGTTCAATATTGCCTCCTAGTATAAATAATAGCATTGTGAGGTGTTGTTTCCCTCTATGTCCAGGGTTAAGTTCAATACTGCATCCTGGTATAAGTAATAGCATTGTGAGGTGTTGTTTCCCTCTATGTCCAGGGTTTTAAGTTCATTATTGCCTCCTAGTATAAGTAATAGTATTGTAAGGTGTTGTTTCCCTCTATGTCCAGGGTTAAATTCAATATTGCCTCCTAGTATAAATAATAGCATTGTGAGGTGTTGTTTCCCTCTATGTCCAGGGTTAAGTTCAATACTGCCTCCTGGTATAAATAATAGCATTGTGAGGTGTTGGTTCCCTCTATGTCCAGGGTAAAGTTCAATATTGCCTCCTAGTATAAGTAATAGTATTGTGAGGTGTTGTTTCCTTCTATGTCCAGGGTTAAGTTCAATACTGCCTCCTAGTATAAGTTATAGTATTGTAAGGTGTTGGTTCCCTCTATGTCCAGGTTTAAGTTCAATATTGCCTCCTAGTATAAGTAATAGTATTGTAAGGTGTTGTTTCCCTCTATGTCCAGGGTTTTAAGTTCATTGTTGCCTCATAGTATAAATAATAGCATTGTGAGGTGTTGTTTCCCTCTATGTCCAGGGTTAAGTTCAATATTGCCTCCTAGTATAAGTAATAGCATAGTGAGGTGTTGTTTCCCTCTATGTCCAGGGTTAAATTCATTATTGCCTCCCAGTATAAGTAATAGCATTGTGAGGTGTTGTTTCCCTCTATGTCCAGGGTTAAATTCAATATTGCCTCCTAGTATAAGTAATAGCATTGTGAGATGTTGTTTCATGGTAATGTGATTGGTCTTCTGTCTGCTGTTGACTAGCTTTATTTAGTACACAGTTTCTGTTTCTCTCATGATTAACTGGTTGTTTA